TTAATTTTGTGATCCCGTCTGGACTTTCTCACTCACCTCCCTTAAATGTTTTCTGTGTATCCTATTACCACATCTTTTTTCTTCCCCTAAATCCTATTATTTGATTAATGTGCCCTTTAGTCACACAAATATATCAGAAAAGGGTTAGAGGAGAATGTGGTGGCTTCCATATGAAGAGGCCAGTTGATAGGGCAAGGATGAAACAAAGATTGACTTTAAAAAAAAAAAGACAACTACTTTAATACTCAAAATTATGATTTGTTTTTGCCTGTGTAGCATTTTAAAATGTAGAAGCAGAGAGTAGTCACTTGTGATTAAAGTATTGGATTGGGATTCAGAAAACCTGGGTTCAGTTCCTGGCTCTCCAACAAGATCTTGGCCACAATTCACTTTATTTCCCCATGGATCAATTCCATACCTGCTGCTTGTATTTGTGTCCTTTTTTCCCATCTTAGGTCTATATAGACTGAGCTCACCAGGACAGGAAGACAGTCTGGACTTTGCATTCCCAGTAGGAGCGGGATATGTTTATTTCTGTTGAGCCTCAGAGGCATTGGTTTCATTTCAGTACCAAGGATCATTAACTGGAGAAGGAAATGTTGATTCAGTAAAGAGACTGTTAAACCTTAACATAAAATAAAAGATACAAGTAGCTTTGTTCCACCCATTCTTTTCACCTCCTTTTGGTTTTATTTCACCTTTTGACATATTATTATAGAATCCTAGAACAGGAAAGAAACTCGAGGCCATCCTGTCCAGTCCCCTGCACTCATGACAGGACCAAGCACTGCATAGACCATCCCTGGCAGATGTTTTTTAACCTGATTTTAAAAATCTCCAATGATGGAGATTCCATAACTTCCTCAGGCAATTTATTCCAATGATTAACCACCCTGACAAGAAGTTATTCCTAATGTCCAATCTAACCCTCTCTTGCTGCAATTTAAGCCCATTGCTCCTTGCCCTATCACCAGAAGTTAAGAAGAATAATTTTTCTCCCTCTTCCTTGTAACATACTTTTAGACATGAAAACTATTATCATGTCCCCTCTCTGTCTTCTCTTTTCCAGACTTAAACCAATTTCTTTCAGTTTTTCCTCATAGGTCATGTTTTGTACACCTTGCTAATTTTTGTTGCTCTTCTCTGGACTGTCTCTGGTTTGTCCACTTTTTTCATGAAATGTGATGCCCAGAACTGGACACACTATTCCAGTTGAGGCCTACTCAGCATAGAGTAGAGGGGAGAATTACTTCTTACGTCTTGCTTACAACACTCCTGCTAATACATCCCAGAATGATGCTTGCTTTTTTTGCAGCAGTGGCACGCTTAACTCGTATTTAGCTTATGGTCCACTATGACCTCTAGATCCCTTTCTGCAGTACTCCTGCCTAGTCAGTCATTTCCCATTCTGTATGTGTGCAACTGATTGTTTGTTCCTTCTTAAGTGAAGTACTTGGCATTTGTCCTTATTGAATTTAATCATATTTACCTCAGGCCTTTGTGTGTAGACAAAAATGATCTGGAGCAGAGGTGGGCAATAATTTTTGATGAGGGGCTACTCCCAAGATTTTGTGGTCAAGGGCTGCACTTTTCAATGGAGGTCGTGTGGGGTCTGGGATGGAGGTTGGATGCAAAAGGGAGTTTGGGGAAGAATATTGGGGTACAGGAGAGAGTGTAGGGTCATAAAGGGAGTTGGGGTAAAGGAGAAGGTTGTGACCTAGAGCTCGAGATTGTGGCATCCTGGAAGGGGCATGGGTGCAGAAGAGGATTCTCACCTGCAGGAAGGCCAGAGAAGGGGGTGCCAGAAGGTCTGGATTATGACCTGGGGCAGGGGATAAGGGTGCAAGGTTGAGGAGAGAGATGGGTTCAGGAGAGGCTTCTGGCCTGCGGGATGGGTGGAAGTGGTTGCAAGGTCTGGGAGGGAGTTGTGACCAGGGAAAAAGAGGGTGCAGAGGGTAGGGGTGGTGACGGGGGAGAGGCGGGAGGTGCAGAGAGTTTGGTTGGTGACCTGTAGAGCCCTGTGCAGATAAAAAATTTGCATCTGTATCCACGTACATATCTGCAAAAATGAGTCACGGATATCCACATTGACATCTGTGGATGTGGATACCCACAGATATCCACAGATTTGCAGGGGTCTAGGTATAAAATTTGTATCCACAGAGTATCCGCAAAAATAAGCTGTTTATATCTGCATTCACATCCACAAATGTGGATACCTGTGGATATAAAGCAGATATCAGCAGATTTGTAGGTTTCTAGTGATCTGGGGAAGGAGGGGGTTTGGACCTGGGACAGGGAATTGGAGTATGCAGAGCATGGGGTGCCAGATGCAGGCTCTGGCTGGGAGGCGTTTATCCTAGGCAACTACTGGGTTGCTGGCCAGGACCCTCAGGCAGGCTCCCTGCCTGTTGCAGCCCCACAGTGCTCAAGCAGATATCAGCAGATTTGTAGGTTTCTAGTGATCTGGGGAAGGAGGGGGTTTGGACCTGGGACAGGGAATTGGAGTATGCAGAGCATGGGGTGCCAGATGCAGGCTCTGGCTGGGAGGCGTTTATCCTAGGCAACTACTGGGTTGCTGGCCAGGACCCTCAGGCAGGCTCCCTGCCTGTTGCAGCCCCACAGTGCTCAGTTGCTGGGTCCATGTGTCTCTAGGTGCCACAAGCCGGGTGGGGGGGTGGGGGGGGGGAC